ATTAAATACTTTGTTGTGCTTATGTATTGAATGATTTTTTATCTTTTATGAAGTGAGTTATTGTTACTTTAATTATTCTTTTTCTTTAATGTTTCCAAAGGGATTAGCTAACCCTAGGACTCGCCCATTAACTTTGAATTAATTTTGGGAAAGATTATTTAGGGTTGGGAAAGATTAATGAACAAGAACTTAAGGCTTTAACCCTCATTTTATAGATTCTACCTAGGGATAGGATTGAACTACTTGTAGCCATATCCAAGTGTGCTTAATCTCTTTATTGATTTAGGGATAATTCAATTGGGAAGTCTTGTTAGTCTTTGGAAGAAGCTAATAAAGAATTATTACATGTGGCTAATTAGCATAAACTCGCTCATATTTGTAAAATCGTGAAATACACCGGATTCTTACTTGAGTGTAATTCCCAATGCATCCATACTTGTAACCATTGATCATTTTACTTGCTTTCTAGGTTAGTTTACATTTCCGCATTTAGCTATAATATTTTCTAATAACAATTCTAAGTGTTTGGCATTGCATAACAAGTGATAATTCTCTTACATTCCTAATCGCCTACATATTGTTCTCTGTGGGATTCGACCCCGACTCATAGTTGGGTAAATTATATTGCATGCGACCGTGTCCATTTACTTTTTAGTAGTGGATTTGGACGTCATCACTTAGTCTCTTAAGTGAAAGCTTAAGTTGGAAAAGTTGACCGGATGTTGACTTATGTGTAAACGACCAGGGATTTGAATTTTGATGGTTCCATTAGCTCCATTAGGTGATTTTGGACTTAGGAGCGCGTCCGGATTGTGTTTTGGAGGCTCGTAGTAGAATTAGGCTAACAGGCGTGGCAGAAAGTTGGAATTTTGGGAAGTTTGACCGCGAGTGGACTTTTTGATATCGGGATCGGATTGTATTTCCGGAAGTTAAAGTAGGTTTGTGGTGTCATTTATGACTTGTGTGCAAAATTTGAGGTCAATTGGACGTGATTTGACGTGTTTTGACGTCCTTTGTAGAATTCGGAAATTTCAAAGTTATTAGGATTGAATTCGTGGGTAATTCGTATTTTTGATGTTGTTTGAGGTGATTTGAAGATTCGACTAAGTTCATATGATGTTTTGGGACTTGTTGGTATGTTTGGTTGAGGTCCCGAGGGCCTCGAGTGAGCTTTGGGTGGTTAACGAATCATTTTTGGGCTTTGAGTGATAGCTGATATCTGCTGCTGGATTTCTTCTGGTTTCCTCTTTCACGAGCGCGAGAGGACGGTCGTATTCGCGAAGGGTTAATGAGAGCTGGGATATTTTGTTTTTCGCGTTCGCGTAGAAGAGGACGCGAACACGAAGTTTTGATCTGAGTGTGCATCGCGAATGCGGGAGTGGTATTGCGTTCGCGAAGTGAAGTGAGGCAGCTAGGGACCCCACGTCTTTGGTGTACGCGTTCGCGAGGTATTGGCCGCGTTCGTGATGAGTTGAATTGGTAAAGATACGCGTTCGTGAAGCGTTGGCCGCGTTCGTGAAGCGTTGGCTGCGTTCGCAAAGAGTCAAGCTGGGAGGTAGTCATTTTGGTCTATGCGAACGCGAGAGGACAGACGTGTTCGTGAAGAAGGAAATATGGGCAGATAGTATTAATTTTAAAAACGAGGGTTTGAACCCATTTTTCATATTTTGAGTTAGAGACCACGGATTTGGGCGATTCTTGAAGGGATTTTCGTGGAGTTGATTGGGGTAAGTAATTCTTGCTTGGTTTTGGTTAAATCCCATGGTTGTCTTAAATTTTATCATCTAATTTGTGATTTGGGGTGGCTAATTGGGGAAAAAGAGGAAGAACTCTTGAGTTAGGATTTTGAGGTTTTGAATGGCATTTTGTTATCGGATTTGAGTAAATTTGGTATGGTTAGATTCGTAAGTGAATGGGCTTTCGAGTTTTGTGATTTTTGTCGGATTCGAAGACGTAGGCTCGGGGGCCGAGTTCGGGCTGATTTCGGATTTTTTGGCTATAACTTAGTACTTTTCTTGTGGAATTGATTCCTTTAGCCTATATTGAATGCATTGTGCTAGTTGTGGCTAGATTCGGGACATTCGGAGGCCGACTCGCGAGGCAAAGGAATTTTGGAGTAGCGTTTTCCTCGGATTGAGGTAAGTAATAGTTTTAAATCTCGTCCTGAGCGTATGAAACCCTGGATGTTGTGCTATGTGTTTATTTTGGAGGTTGCACACATGCTAGGTGATGGGCGTGTGGGCGTGCACCATGGGAATTGTGACTTGATCCGTCCCGTTGAACCGTAAATTGGAGCAACTTGTTATGAGCTATATGTTGCTCTCAGTGTTATAGAAATTGGACTGAAATCCTTGTTAGAAATCATGCTTAGGCTATATGATGTCACTGTTTGGACCCGCAGAGGACGTATATTTGTTGAATTAACTGCTATTTGCTGTTTTGTACTTAGTCATAATTTCCTTGCGTATCATACCTCCATCTCTTCTTGTTCCTTGTTGATACATGTTATTATCTCTGTTTGGGCTGATTTATATGATTTATGAGAGCCCGAGAGACAGGAGAGGTTGGTGACTGAGATAGGGCCTGAGTGTCGAGATGTGAGCTATGTGTGTATATATGGATCGGGTTGCACGCCGCAATGAGCCTGAGGGCTATATGTATTTGGATCGGGTTGCATGCTGCAACGAGCCTTAGGGTATATATATATATATATATATATATATATATATATATATATATATATATATATATATATAGAGATCGGGTTGCGCACCGCAACGAGCCTTATGGCTATTTATAGACTATGGATCGGGCTGCATGCCGCAATGATATAGCGCTTGGGCTGAAGGAGCCCCTCCAGAGTATGTACACCCCCAGTGAGCGCAGGTACCTATTGAGTGTGAGTACTGAGGGCTGAGAGCCGAGTGATTGAGATGTTAAGATGAGTTGAGTGACCGTTACCTTGAGAGGCTGTACTTGTTTTCATTTGTTGTTGCACTTAGTGGCTATCTGTCATTGTTGTGAAATTTTTGGAAGATTTTATATCCGATTTACTTGAACTTAAATTGTACAAAACTCATTTGACTTAAACTGCCGGATTTGAAAGCATGTCTATTCTTTACTAAAATTAATGAATATGAACTATAACTGTGTAGCTCGTCACTATCTTCAATTCCTTATTTAATATTGTTACTTACTGAGTTGGATGTACTCACTTACTCCCTGCACCTCGTCTGCAGATCTAGGTGTTTTCGGACATGGTGGACGTTGATCTCGTGCGTGGTTGAGTATCGGAGACTTACGAGGTAGCTGCCGGCGTTCGTAGTCCTTGTCTCTCCTTTCTTGTTACCTTTTCTTTCATGTATTGGCATTTTGACCCAGACTGTTGTAGACACTGTTTCTAGACTGGTTGTTTAGATGCTCATGACTTAGTGACACCCCAATGTTGGACTATTTTCCGCACTTATGTTTTTGGTTTACCTCGTTTTATGAAAAAGAACTCCGATTATTGTAAATTTCTTAATTCATTTTTATTAAATGTTGAAAGTGTTTGAAAATGTCGGCTTGCCTGGTACCCCGAAGGGTGGAATTACGCGCGTAAGTGAGGTGCTTTTGCCGTTCCTTCAGTTTTTGTTCATAGCAAAAATCGGCAAAGTAATCAGTATTATTCCCTTTGTTGCAGCAACTTCATGGGCGCCGGGCCAAGTTCACGATTTGCCCGGCTGGGTTCGGAGGCTGGTAACCCATTCGTCTTGCGATGAACGCAGGTGGTGAGCTATGTCTCGCATCAGGTGGGGAGTGGATCATCAAGGTATGTGCGTATGTTGCTTCTTTGTCGATATGTTCCTGAGGCGGCATTTTCCCATCTCTTCTATGCTGGACGCGTTGTTTTTGCAGATATCGGGCGGTTCCTCGGGGCGAGGCAGCGTTTTCCCGAAGAAGAGATGGAATCATCGGCTCCCGAGCCGAGTGACGGTAGCAGCAAGAGGGTCCGAGACCCACCATGTGAAGAAGCTTCTAGTGGCGCTGGCCGGGCTCGTATCTCTGAGGACGGGGCATCACCCGAGTCGGCTGTCCCCGGGGTACCTGTTTCTCGGTGAGCGGCTCCCTCGAATGAGCATGTTATGTCCGGAGCCAGTTCTTCCGGGGTTGCGGGAGCGGTATTATAAGGAGCGTGTTCTGATTTGGAGAAGGCTTGCCATCTTCACTTTGCGGTGAGTTCGTGCATAATTCTCTCATACCCCGCGTCTTCCTCCCCTCATTGAGTCTTTCTTGCACAGTCCTGTGATAGGCTCAAGTCCGAGCTGCTTCGTCAAAAGGCCAAGTTCCAGAGGGTTCGGGATGAGGGAGAATCCCTTAGGCTTCTTTGCAACGAGAAAGAAGTTGAGCTGCAGCATTGGCGATATGAGGCGTATCGGAGTTCGAACAATGAGAGCTATTTGATGGAGCAGGTAGTTTCCTGCTGTAGATATGTGATTTTTGACCCTCCCTGAAATTTCACCCATTTTAGTATGTAAATATTTAGTTTAGGCCTAATATCGCCATTTAAGCTAATTTTGACTCTTTTACTTTATTTCGGCACGAAAAATATAAATTAAAAAAAATATTTTAGTTTACGTATCTTTCGTAAATTTAAATAAAAGAAATACAAAAATAGTATCTTATCTTTATTTTTATATAATCTTGAAAACACAAGAAATAGTTTATATTTTATAGTTTAGTTCAATTAATTAAAATTAGTTTTATATTTTTATATTATAATTGTACATAATTTTTGAAGGAGGAATTAGTTTTAGGTTGGTTTATCCCGTCTTTATAAATCTTGTAGTCCATTTCTTTTTTTTAGTCTTTGGCCCAATTCCCTAGCCCATAATCCCTAGGCTCATACCCCTAACCTAATCCCTACCTAAAACCTAAATATACACGCACCCTATACACCACAAACACCTAAAGAACACAATCAGCCGCTACAGTGCAAAAAAATCCCCCCCNNNAGACCTAGAGTTAAGGAATACACTCTGAAAATCAGAGGAGAGTGCCGCAGGAACTAACAAAATCGACCCCTGAACTCGTCTCCGTCAATGGCAGCATCTTCTTGGCCATTTTCGATGGTTTCAGCTAAAGCCTAAACAACGACCCCCAGCTAAACAGACCCGTCTCCAGCCGCCTTCACCAAATCTCACCGGAAATGGCGACCAACAGTGACAAAGGGCCATTGACGTGACTGAAACCTTCAAATCCGGCGTCTCTTCTGAAACCTTCAGACCCGGTCCTCTTCTCCTTCATCTTCTGTTTTTTTTTTTTTCTGAAAATCCGGCGGGACTCCTGCCATTGTTGAACTGAGCGTGCACCAGTTTAATCGTGTACGTTTTCCGGCGATTTTCGGTCCAAGATAACACTTGAACACAAAAATTCCCTCGGAGTTCCTTTGTTTCCAGTGAGGTCGTCGATTTGTCGAGGTTGTCGAGTTTCAGTCCAGTGTTCGTCTGCGGCCTAGTTCGATTTTGAATTGTGAAATTATTGCACAATTGAAAGTTCAGATTCATATTTTAGCCTTTATGTAGCTGGCTTGTTATCAAACTCTCAGGTACATTATCTCAAACATGTACTTATCTTTGATTAATGTTGAACTTCTAGATTTGTTTCGGGTTCATTTGTTACCATTGTGAATCTGTTGCCTCAATTTGGTTTGAGTAAAAGTAGAGTGTCCACAGGTACAGCAGAGGTGTGGTACTTGTTTGTTTGGAATTTGATTTTGTGGCTATTTTGTGAGTTTGATTTGAATTGGTGTCGAAACGTTTGGTTTAGCACATACTTTAAACGGTCTATAGATTTAGGTTTTGTTGCCGTTGAGTTAAATGTGTTATTATTTCTAAATAGAGGTATATGGAGATATGAATCTTGGTTTTGATTTAAATGGTTTGTTTGGTATGATCGCTGATGGATTTTTCTATGTGTTTTAAAGTGAACCTCATTTGACTCCATGTTTAACTTTCAAGTACTCCAAGTTAAGATATTATTCATGCTCAGTTAATTTTAAGTGTTTCTCATTACTAATTTGCTTCAAGTGTGTCTGATTCTGCTAAATTCCATATGCTTAGGTGATAAGAAATTTTCCTCAAGTTAATCGCGAAGTTTTTGGCAAACCTTGACGGCATGTCACATTTGGTGTATTCTGTTAAAGCAAACGCACCTCAATTATACTGAAGGCATTGTATTTCAATTGGATTCTTCTTGAATTAGAGGGTTAATCTACTCGTGTAAATGGCAACACGATGGTTTGGAAATTGTTCACATATACACTAGATCTTCATGACTGACACCTTGGCATAAATTGTTTCTTCATGAAATTTACCTTCTTTTTATCTTTAAGGCAACCATTAAGAATTTGTCAGAATCTCACGTTTTAATTTGCAGTAGTATATGTCATTGTTTTTAGCATTTGATTTCTATAATTTGCAGTACTTCAATGATGGATATTTGGGGTGTTTGAAGCTTAGAACTAATAGGGGACATTAGGCACGTTTAATATACTATCGTGGTTGTGGACACGTTCGCGTGACATAATTACGATTCCCTAAGGATAGATTGAGGCGTGCCATTTAGCGAATTTTCATGGCCCTTGCAAAGTTAACAACGCGTTAGTTGCTTTAGGCGTGTTATTTAATAATACTACCTTCCTAAACTCGGGTGTGCATTTCATGTGACCCAAATCCAAATCTTAAGATGTTGAATAAAATGTGTTTCAGATTGCGGGTGCATTTCATGTGACACGATCCAAAAGCATGTTTTTAAACGACGTTCAATCTTCTATAAAATAATCAAAAGCGATTAATAATTTAAAATTATACCATAGGCTAAAACATGTATTAAAATCAGATAATGGGCCAATTGTAATAGTTTAAGCGACCGTGCTAGAACCATGGAATCCGGGGGTGCCTAACACCTTTCCTCGGGTTAACAGAATTGCTTATTCAGAATTTCTGGTTCGCAGACTTCAAATGGAAAGTCGAATTTTCCTCGATTTGGGATTTAAAATAAACCGGTGACTTGGGACACCAGAAAACAAACCATCCCAAGTGGCGACTCTGATAAATAAATAATCTCATTTCGAATAATTTCACTTAAAGTGGAAAAACTCCCTTATACATTATCGGGGGTGGTGTGTAAAAAAAGGAGGTGTGACTGCTCTGGCGACTCTGCTGGGGATCCAAACCCAGAACTTCGGTTCAGGGTTCAAGAATTCGAGCTTAGAATAGCTGCTATGATTGGCTTTATTTATTATCTGATTTTCCTACATGTTTAAGCCTAATGTGCTAAATGCTTTTACCGCTTTGATATTCTGTGAATTGTATATAAACTGCTACGAAACCCTTCCTCTCTCTGAGTCTTCTAAATCATGGAGAAGGGTGCACTTCTTGTGACTTCTCTTCTGTCTAGAGTCTTATCCTATTTTAGAACGAGGTTCGGACAAGTTGCAAAGCCGGTGAAGCTTCTGTATACCCGGTACGCTGCCCCCCCCGGCTCGAGTTGTCCGCTCGGGTAAGCCAGGTCTAGAACAATAAACCCAGGTTTTAAACCTAGTATAACAAAGCCTCATGCCGGATCCTAGTAGGAACGTTTTGTTTGCATCACGTGCATTTGACTTAGGAGACTCAACACAGGGGTTGGGTCTGTCTAGGACAGTTGTACCCAAATAAAAGACCATCATGATGCATCTTACGTGCTACTTGCGTATCTATCTGTTCAGGCTTGCATGTTGACTGGCTTCTAGAATAGGGAAAGAAAATAAAAAAAGAGAAAAAAGAAAATAAAAAAATAGTGAGAGGTAGGTATTTAGAAAATTCTGAAACTCTTCCGAAATTCGAAAAAAAAATAGAAAAAAAAAGAAAAGTCATTTCAAAATAAGTCATGTTTTCCCTGTTCCGTCAAAACTGGCGAACTACGCGGGTCTGATTCTCACCGGATGGGAGATACGTAGGCAAACCTCATCGGTTCCGGCCCACCATTTTCAAAAAAAAATCCAAAAATATTTTCATTTACTTCCTTCTTTAGAAAGTCTTTCTTTTAGACCCAATTTTTTAAAAAAATACAAAAATATTTTCTTTTAATTTCTTCTTATAATCCAAAAATATTTTCGTTCTTCTTTCAAAAAATTCAAAAGAAAATTCAAGATTCAAAAATATTTTCTCTTTCCTTTAGAGTATTTATTTCATAAATTCAAAATAAAAATCCAAAAAAATCCAAAAATATCTTTTTTCTTATTTAGAAGCTTTTCTTTCGAAATTCCAAAAAGAAAAAGAAAAAAAAAGAAGCCGAAATTCGAAAAAAAAAAAGAAAAAAATATTTTCTTTCTTCTTTAGAAGTCTTTCTTTTCAAAAAAAAGAAAAAAACAACAAATCGAAATCCAAAATATTTTTTTTGTTTCTTCTTTTTAAGTCTTTCCTTCGGAAAAAGTCCAAAATCCAAAAAAAAAAATGAGTTAGTTTATTTGCTTTATTCTTAATCTTTCCGAACTACGCAAGATCTGATTCATGTTCCCACATGATACGTAGGCAACCCACATCAGGTTCGATCAACTATTGAAAAGAAAAAAAAAGAGAAACAAAAGTGAAAAAATGTTGATAATAATAGGGACTGACTGAGTCCATTCTAACATGTCTTTTGTTTTGAATTTTGAAGAAAGTTTGAGGTGGTCGGTTTGTGGTAAGCAGACAGCACAAGATTCGAGAAAAAATGATAACTGACATCGAAGCTGTTACAAGTGCTCAAAAGACTCAGGGTCAGAGGGTTCGACAAGAGTCTACTGTGGTTGAGGAAAATAGAATGCTGAAGCAGCAAATGACCAAAATATGTCAAGCATGGGCCAATGGCCAAGGACAACCTTGTCATGAGTCACAATTTGCTACACAACAAGAGCAGTACCACTCTCCTGAGTACCACTCGTACTCGTTTGATCTTCCTGCAAATATTGAGAAGCCTGCCCGAAAGATGGCACAGGAAGAAATGACCCAAAGAGTAAAAAGCTTAGAACGACGGTTTAAAAAAAACATGCAAGGGTTGGCAGGTCAGAAGAGTATTGCCTTGAAGGATCTATATATGTTCCTTGATGTCCATTTGCCGCCTGGTTTCAAGAATCCCAAATTTAAAAGTGTGATGGACATGGAGTCTGATAATCCTCTCGGGAACTTGCCGACTGAAATTGGAGAAGGCCATGGTGATTCTGATGAGCAAATTTGTGGCTAAATGTCAGGCTTATCAATTGAAAAGTCATTCCCTCCTCACTTATGAAGGAATCTTGGTAGCTTATTTTGATGTTTTTTCTGTTATCTGGGTTATTTCAGGGTTGTGATCCAGATTTTATATGCTTTATTGAGTCACACCCTTCTATCTTCTATTCTGTTTGTGCAAGTCTTGTCTGTCTGTTCTGTTGCTATTTTCATTATCCGGGTTATTTTAGGGCTGTAACTCGAATTTTAGGTTGTTTGTCTTGTTGTCAAGCCCTTTCATCCTTTACTCAATAAAATACAGTTTGTCCTTTTGTGTCATTATGTTCTTTGTTCTTTTCTCGCTAGTTCTAATAACATGACATGCATGCGGAAATTTTGGTCAGATCTTAGAAACTGATTTAATCTGGAATTGGATAATTGAAAAAAAAAAACTTTTGAGGAGGAATACAGAGTTGAAATACTTGGGAATTAAGGTTGAGTGAAATTCACCTTCAAATCATTGTGAAGATTGGGCTTAAAGATGTTTAATCAATTGAAGTTTGTTGGAAACTTTGGCATTAAGGGATGGAAAGTTTCTTGTGACCACGAAACACCAAGAAGACAGACATGTTCGTCAATGATGTGATCGCGAAAAGATACTATAATTGGCGTTCTCGAGGCTGGGAGGCCCTTTTTCTGCTACCCAAACACGTTATACCCTTTGTCACCCCTTTGAGCCTGTGTTATTTTCTTTGACCACCCTCTTTTGGAATTAAGTTTAGAGTCAAGAGTCAAAAAAAAATTAAAAAAAAAGGGAAAAAGAAAAAGAAAAAAAAAGTTCATGTGCCAAGAGTACAAACTGGGGCAATTTCAAGTGAATAAAGAAGAAGAAAAGAATTGTCAAAGTAGAAAATAAAAGCCGGGGCAACTTGTTTTGAAAATAAAAGTAAAAAAAAAAAAAGCAAAAAAAAAAGAAAAAGAAAAAAAGAAACAGAAAGAAAGATGAAAAATTAGTTAGGTCAGATGTTTGAACTACGTTAGACCTGATTCCTTTAAAAAAAAGGATACGTAGGCAGCCTCACGGTTCGGTCCAACCAAATAAGAATTCAAGAAAAATTCCAAAAAAAATAACCCTAGTATCTGAAACTGGGGTATAGATTTTATTTCACTTTTGAAAGAGTCGATTCCGGGAGTTGTAAGTCCACAACCCCCATTATTTGAATCTATTTTGAGCCTTCATGACTTTCTTTCTTTCCAACCGTATCCAAAATCCTTCCAAATAAAGACCTCCCGATACGCCTTTATGAAATGCCAAAAGAAGCATGCAATGCGCGCGCCGGAGACCAAGCTACAAAATGGTAAGAGCTATATTTTGTGCCAAGAGGCTACAACCCGTCAAGATCGCCCTCTGCAACGCCCCCGAGGAGTGACCGATCATCGCGGTCGTCCGCCCTTGCTTGAGCCAATTCCTCCGAGAGGATAAAGCCTCTCGCTCCAACTTCCTCAAACACTTCTCTCTGGGATCGGCGACGAACATATTCCTTGATCCTCTTCTCACGATCAATGGCTTGCCTCAACTCGGATTGGGCATCAACAACCTCCTTTACGCAAATCGCCATCTCGGTTCTAAAAGAACCTCGATTTCAAGTCGTAGTCAGCGATGTTTTGAGCACCTCGGAAGGTTCATAGCCCATAGGTCGAGTAGATCGACGCTTTTGCGATTTTAGAGCCGACATGGTCGGGACTCATTTTTGCCTGTTGAGGGAAGCCTGTGTTTAACCGGTTCTTTCCGAAGTAGATTCGGAGGATTTTTTAGCAACAGTCGGGCATCCCCAAGTTGCGTTATATGGGCTGTGTCAGCCGTTTCGACCGTAGTCATATGCGTTTGGCCGTAGCCATTTTGATCCCTTAGTGATAGTTTAGGCGTAACGTCGAGGGTATGCCCTTTAGGGATTATTAGAAATGCGACTTATAGCCCAAATATCGGGATTTTCATGCCTGTTGAGGTCTTACAGTTTTGCCATGCCTGTTGAGGTCTTACAGTTTGCCATGCCTGTTGAGGTCTTACAGTTTGCCATGCCTGTTGAGGTCTTACAGTTTATGGAGAATAGATCTGGTTTTGCCGAGGCTGCCCGTTAGGGTCTTACAATTTCGGATTTTCCAGTGTGTGGCGATTGACGACAGTCTCTGAGTCATCGAGTTTGCTTGAAGACGACTTCTCGTGAGCTCGGAGCT